TGGTGCAGGGGATTGAACCAAGGTCCTTGTTTATGCCAAGAAAGCAACTCTGCCACTGAGCTACATCCCAAACCAAACTGCTGCCTTTTTAGCTGAGTTCTGGTATCTCTCCCCAGGCCTGGGCTCTAAGCCCCTTATTGAAATGAAGGGCCACGAGGATGAGGGCATTCGGCTGGAATGTACATCTGCAGGGTGGTACCCAGAGCCCCGAGCAGTGTGGAGAGACCCATATGGTAAGGTCATGCCTGCCCTGGAGGAATCTTATACTACTGACAGAGCTGGCCTCTACATGGTCACCATGGCTGTGATCATCAGAGACTGCTCTGTGAGGAACATGACCTGCTCCATCAACAACACTCTGCTTGGCCAGGAGATTCAAAGTATGATTTTCATTCCAGGTTAGTTTTTGGCCTTCTGGAGACTCATTATATGAGGGTGGGATCCTTAGCAGACATACTGAAGCCTGTTGTGGGGGTAGGAATGTGGGTGGGAGGGTCCTGTGCCCTACAGAGCTGGAAGTTAAAGCTGAGCTGAGTCCTCTTCCAAGAGGAAAATCAGTTTTTTGTTTTTTGTTTTTGTTTTTTGGAAGGACTGGGGGATTGAACTCTGCTTCACACTTGTTAGGCAGGTACTATACCACTTGAGCCATTCTGCCAGCCCCAGAGAGTCTTAAGAGACATGAGTAGGAGTCTCTTCTCTGAGAGTAAATCTGATTTTTTTTCCTCATAAATTCCCTGTGCTGTAGCACAGTTTAAACATTCATATGCTGCCTGTGGTGGTGCCTGTCTGTAATCCCAGCACTCAGGAGATGAAGGCAGGAGGATCACAAAATTGAGGGCAGCCTGGGCTATATAGCGAATTCCAGACAAGTCTGAGATAATAGCAAGACCCTGTCTCAAAAAAGCAACTAATTATTGCATATGCTGCTGTCTCTAGAATGTGAACTTCATGAGGTCATGTGTCTTCATATGCTGCGTTCAATGAGTTAATCCTGATATCCAGAATAGTGTCTTTAAAACAGAAGATGATTGTTGAATATTTGTTGAATGAATTTATGAATGTCTGTAGATAAGGAATTTCCCTAGATCTATTCCTTTGGAAATCTCCTAGGAGAGCTTCAGCAGATAGTACCACTACCCAGTGGTCATCCATAGAAAGTCATCCTTCCATGCTTCTCTCCATATTTTATTATTGTTCTTTATGCTTGTTTGTTTTGGAGTTTTTTGTTGACAGCAGCATATGCAATAATTAGTTAAGACAAATGATGAAATAATTAAACTGTATGTTATATTAGATAGTGATGGATACTGTAGGAAAGATTAAACAAGGAGGATATGGGTAGTACCAAAGATGTAGGATGTTTAAGTTATTAACAGGGCTGTCAGAAAAGACCATCTTGATCAAGAAATTCTCATCTTTTCAGGATGGTCTGTAAAGGTGGGAATTGAAAAAATAAGAGAGTGAGCCAAGCAGTTATTTGAGGACTGAGCAAACATAGGCAACAGGAACTGTGTATACAAAAGGCCTGAGATAGGAGTGTGTCTGGCAGTTTCAATCCCCAGATATGAAGGTGGTGTGGCTGCAATGGAGTGAGTACAGGGAGTGAGAGGCTATAACTTCACAGAGGTGATAAGACCACTTATATATGCAGCAACATATGCCACAGATTTTGGTTTTTAGTCTGAATGATACAGGAAAGCATTGGAAGGTTTAGCAAAGAATGAACATGATCTCAGGCCCCTCTGTTGAAAACAGACTGCACACAACATAAGCAGGACAACGGGGAAGGAACTCCAATATTCCAGGCAAAGAATGATGGTGGCTTGTACCACCAACATTGTAGCTGTGGTGATTCAGCCTGGCTGGTTAGCTTTATACACTGGGATTCTTCATATGATAATCCCAGATGTTCTGTTGTTCTTTCTTCTGGGCTGGAGCCCTGGCAGTCATTGTGGGGTCAGTCAGCACAGTGCCACCATCTCTCTCCCATCTGAGCAAGGGATCTAAGGGAGCTCTTCAGATGTGCTGTTGGAGAGCCTGCTTACAGCTGGTATTCTGTTTTGCACCAAATGGGACTTTTCTGGCTCCCTTTTCAGAATCCTTTGTACCCAGTATATCTCCCTGGATGGTGACCTTGGCTGTTATCCTACCTATTGTGATCTTCCTTGTGTCTGGGAGCATCTGTCTCATCAAAAAACTTCACAGGGAAAAAGAGATTCTGTCAGCAGAAAAAGAGGTTGAATATGAAGAAAGAGAAATTACACGTAAGGAACTGGGGAAGAACATCAAATAAAAGGTAAAAGATTAGGAGGACAGTTCATTGTCATAGAAAGGACACCATTGTGGCAGGTAATAGTAGCTTGGGAAACAGGAAGAACATGCATATAGGTAACAGCAAGGGTTTAGAACTCTCACATCCTTATTCATCCCTGTGAGCTTCTTTCTTCCAGCTTGCAGACATTGCATTCACTCACCTGGCTTCAAACAGTATAAGTTGTTGAAGGAAAGCAAGCCTGTGAAAATACTGACAATATCCAGCCACCTGATTAAGTATCATTTCTGGTTTCTGACAGTTCCCCAGGCTTGGGAGAGTGGGAGGAGGAAAATGTTGGTGTTATAGAAAGGACTAATCCTGCATCATTTAACACAAATCCAAATACTCTTAGTTCTTCCACCAAGGTCATTATTTTGTTTCTGTTTCTTTTTCAGAGCAACTTCAAGAAGAACTGGGTAAGTTTAGCCTTTCCTGAACTACAAATCCTTGCACAGTATGTGTTCTGCTTGGTTAGACATTATCTCATGACATTCACCTCTCTGTCTCTTGTAGGATGGAGAAGAACCCTCTTACATGCTGGTAAGTGCCTCTCACATTCCCTCAGATCTTTCCACAAGCCAGCCAACAGGACTCTTTGGAGGACTCAGACAAGGGGGCCAATGGCTGGCTGGAGTTGAGGGGCGGGGCACAGAGTAACAGGCTGGCTGCCAGCAATGGCCTACCAATGCTGAATACCTGCCTTTCTGGCAGAGAATCCCCACAACTTTTGATCACTTCTGTGGGAATTTTACTTCCCACAATCCCTCCTTTTGAATAAATAAATCCTTGGCTACCAGAGGTTTCCCATGCAGAACAAACCTCCCCAAGAGTTACATTTTAGTAGTTAATGCTCTTGGATTCTGTATTAATTTGAAAGAAGACAGTGCTGTCTAAGCTACTTATAATCTGAGAGATGGTTAGATTCTGCAAAGTCAAATATCAGACGGAGAAAATGCAATAAGAAAACTCAAGGTTACACCATTAAGTATTCAGAAATGCCTTCCTACTCCCACAAGAGCACTGATACTCTCAGTGTATCAGTGCTGTATAGCCTTTAAGGGGCTTACCATGCTTTCGGTAAGAGGTAAAGCATGGAATCCAATTGCCTGCTCCTCATGAGCACTTTGCATTTTATAATTTGTCACCTATTGCCCCTGTGCTCCAAAGACTACAGGCTTCATCAGATACTGGACCTTTCTCTTAGGGAAAATTCAAAATTGTCACAATCTACTTCAGACACAATCACAGGTTGTCAGAGACATATCTACTTGGGGGGAAGGAGGAAGTCATTTTACATAATAAGAAAGGTAGACTAAATAAGCAATAATAAATACAAATGGAAAGAGAGGAATCTGAAGCATTTCCTAATTCCTAGAGATGACATAATTATAAGCTTCACATCCATGTCATTAAAACAAAATTGGATGAAACCTGCCCTCCCCCCGCCCCTCGCTTCATGCTTGCTGCACATACCTCCAGGCTGCTATCAGATTGCCTTTAGGGACATTTGTTCTCCATCCTTATCCTATGAAGAGTGCCCCTGTCAGTCATTTAAAAAGTTATCATCTGGTTCATGGAAACAGGGCCCAAGAAAGAGATCCTATTCTACTCAAAACACTGTGTAGGGAGATTCACTTTAATTCCTTAACTGATTTATGGTTAGGGAGGCTGGGCGATAACGCCTCTTTGCTGGTTTAAGTCAAGTTGCATGGTTTCTAACTGAAGAGAGCCCCAGAGATCATATATTATGAATAGACAAGGGGGCAGATCTGAGAATGCTGAAAGCTGGAACCATTCATTTTGTTCATTTACTAAACTTTCTGAGTTTCTTAGAGTACCAGTTCTCCTCTCCTGAGGGCAATGCTCCTGTCACTAAGCCTATGAGCTGCCAAGGATCAAGGGGCCTTCATGGAAAAGGTCACCACATGGGAGAATGCCCCATCAGCTCTCTGGACTTCTCTAGGGACTAGAGATCATACAATCTCCAGGGATCCTGAGACCCTAGCACTAAACCTGAGACTTCTTCTACAGCCGATGTAGTCCTGGATCCAGATACAGCTCATCCTGAGCTTTTCCTGTCAGAGGATCGGAGAAGTGTAAGACGGGGCCCTTTCCGGCAGAGTGTGCCTGACAACCCAGAGAGATTTGACTGCAGGCCTTGCGTCCTGGGCAAGGAGCGCTTCTCCTCAGGGAGACAGTACTGGGAGGTGGAAGTTGAAAATGTAATGGTGTGGGCTGTCGGAGTTTGTAGAGACAGTGTGGAGAGGAAAGGGGAGGCCCTGCTGTACCCTCAGAATGGCTTCTGGACCCTGGAGATGTTTGGAAACCAGTACCGGGCTCTGTCTTCCCCTGAGAAGATCCTCCCTCTGAAAGAGCGCTTGTGCCGTGTGGCCATCTTCCTGGACTATGAAGCTGGAGATGTTTCCTTCTACAACATGAGAGACAGATCACACATCTACTCATGTCCCCGTTCAGTCTTTTCTGGGCCTCTGAGACCGGTTTTCAGGCTGGGTTCTGATGACAGTCCCCTTTTCATCTGTCCAGCATTCACAGGGGCCCAGGGAGTCACAGTGCCTGAGGGTGGCCTGATCTTACACAAGGCAGGGACCTATCACCACACACAGAAGCAGTTTCTTGGTCTCAGACCCATGTAGAGAAGCCATGGCCTGCTTGGCTACAGCTGCACAGCACCTCTGGTAGAAAATAGTGCCTTCTTCCCTCTGGTCATGTAACAGAACATCTTCCCAGCTGCCTCCTTCATATTCACTTCAGGCCTCAGCCCCATTTTTTCCCATACTTGGCTGTGTCTTCAGTAGCTTATTTGTTTGTAAGACCCAGTGCTAGGGAACTACGGCTATTACACAGTTCTCAGCCAAGAAGAAAGCATGAGAAGATGAAGGCAGAAAACATGTTGCTTCAACATGAAGAAGATTGAGCAAAGTTGAGCCCAATATTCCAGACACTGTGGACTTGGGATAAGGGAAATAGGATACATCAGGATGTAACAAGAAGGTGGGAATCACAGAGCCTCCAAAGGGGAGGGAGAACCACAAATGGAGGTCAGAGATTAAGGAAGTGAACCAGGAAGCTGGGAGGAGACCAAGGCTGTGCTTAAGCCCCATATGACAGCTATGGGGTCACTGGAGTTGATGGCCCATTTCCATCCAAGATTTCCAGACCACTCAGTTTGCAGGCCTAGACCTGGGATGAATATTCCCATGATACATCTGGATTTGGCCTGGCACAGGCATCCCTGCAATAAGCAACAAGTCAGTACATAGAGAAAGGCTTAATATTTAAGGTCTCTGATGAGCAGGTGAGTATTGGACCAAATCTACCACATGGTTCAGGTTTAGTGGAGATAGCATTCAAGCTTTTTGGTCTCAGGATGCCTTTAGATACTGTGTTTTGGGCAGTATGAGATTTGAACTCAGGGTCTTGCACTTGCTAGGCAGATGCTCTATCACTTGAGACACCCCAAGCCCTTTTTACTTTTGCCTTTAAACCCAAAGAGCTTTTGTTTCCTTGCATTAATATCTGATATTATTTATGGTACTTGAGATTGTTAAAATTTTTGAATTTATTTACTTAAATTAAAACAATAATAAACCAAAAGTAGTTTGATATAAATAGCAGGTCTTATGAGAAAATTGTTTCCAAAGCAAAATACATTTTATTGAGAAGTGTGGAACTTCTAAGTTTTTGCAAATTTAATGTTTGATTTAATGAAGCATGGTTAGTTTCTTATATTAGCCTTTGCATTTAATCTGTTGGGATATAAAGGACATGTCAGACCAAGAAAACTATAGTGTACACTAGTAGAGTATGAGAGAACAACAGATAATGCTATTATTATGAAAAGAGTCTCCAGGAATTCATATTTTGAAAACTAGGATAGAATCAGTTCTCTAAACGCGCTGGTTTAAGTGACTGTATTTTGGATTTCAGACAATTCTAAAATCTAGACTTTGATGCAGTTCTAAAAGTAGGCTGGAAAAAGTTTCAATAAGTTTCAAATTGTATTTCTATAGTTACAAATGGGCATACTAAGGGAAGAGTCAGGAACATACTGAAATAACTGATTTGTTGGGCTGGGGCTGTGAATCAAGTTGTAAGAGTGTTTGCCTAGCAAGCACAAGGCTCTGAGACTTACCCTCCTCTAACAAAAAAATAGCTGATTTGTTAAGATGGAAGATGGAGTTGTTAATATTGGTGTGTAAGACTTTGGCCATTCAAGCTGCTATAATAAAAATTTCATAAGTGGGTGGCTTATAAACATCTGAAATTTATTTCTTACAGTTCTGGAAGCTGGAAAGTCCAAAATCAAGGTGCTGGCAAATTCAGTGCCTGGTGAAAACACAATTCTTTTTCCTAATCTTTTTGCTGTGTCCTCATATGGTGGAAGAGGAAAGGAGTTTGCTAAGATCTCTTTGATATGGGCACTTCCCAGTCATGGGGTATCCACAATCATAACCTAATTATCTCCCTAAAGCCCCACTTCAAAAAGTTTTCATATTGGAGATTGAATTTCAACACATGAATTTTGACAGGACACATTCAGTTCATTGCAGTGTATAAATTGTTTCTATTTTTGGTACTGTTGCTATATTATTTGAAGGTTTTGTAAATTTGTTTTATTTTCTAACTGATTCTACATTAATGTTTTGATTGTTTTTATTTAATTATTTTTATATTTATTCAAATGTGTATACATTGTTTGGGCCACTTCCCCCTTCCCCCTGAAGTTTGTTAACTAAAAGCACAAGTGTGAGTAAGGAACCAAGTATTAGTAATAACTTGCTATATTAATTTAAGCAACTTATAAATTTTTCAGGGTTCTGTGAAATTAGGGGGGTTTTGTTTTTTTCTTTTTATACACTGCTGGGGATCAAACCCAGGGCTTAGACGTGCCAGGAGAGTACTCTACCACTGAGCTATGCCCCCAGCCCTAAAACAAAGCTGTAAAAGAGTTTATATGACTTCTATTATAGTTTACAGAACATTTTCACACAGGCTGTATCCTTGGATTCTCACAGCAGACATATTTCACCCATTTTATGGTAACTTACTGGAGTCTAGCAAGTTAAATCAATACTTTTTGTTCAAGGAAAATAGAGTTCAAATTATTTTTTTTTCAATAAATCATGTCTTGTCTTCAAGGTGCATTCCAAACAAAATTAACATATTTTAAGTGCTCATTGAAACTAGACACTATGGAGTCTTGTGCTACACACTATGGTAGCATTACATAGTATAAAGTATGGTCACTATGCTCTTCATTCTGTCTTCTATTCACATCTTACTCATTTACTTTCTATAAATTTAGCACAAAGCACCAGTGAATAAGATAGATTCCTCACCTTCTTGGAGTTTACTTGAAAGAAAGAGAGAGAGAGAGAGAAGAAAGAAAGGAAGGAAAGAAGGAAGGAAGGAAGGAAGGCAAGGTTATGTTTGGGGTGGGGTGGGGTGGAGAATGTTACATTAAACTGCAAGTTTAGGAAGGGCCTCCTGGAGGAGATGTTGATTTTGCTGAGATTTGAGAACTGAGAAAGAACCAGCCCTGTGAGAGTTGGGGGAACAGTGAGCACAGAGTATTAAAGTAGGAATGAATGACTAGTTGAAGGAACATAAACAGGCCCATGTGGTCAGAACAATGACGAATGGAATGGGCAGGGGACTTAGACAGAAACCAGATGGTGTACTCTGAGTACATAAGGTATGTAGAGTACCCTGTATGGAGCATAGCTAATTCTTATCAAACGTCCTTCTTCCATGTTTCAGATGGCTACACAGATACCACCCTGTCAACTACAAAATAGGAGGAGGATGTCCCAAGCTTCCAGCCCCACCTGCTGCTCCTGTTCCTCTTAATCTGTTTCTTTTGGTTTCAGTAGAGCAGGTGTCTTTTCTCCTGTATGATGCAAATCCTTCACACTCACCTTGGACTCCAACAATGATTTATGGACACCACAGGCTGCAGTACTGTAGACTGTCGGGGCATAGGAGTGAGCAAAACAAAGTTCCCATTCACAAAAATCTAACTTGTTGAGGTAGGTGACACAAACAGAAATAGAATAAGTAATAATAAAAAAAAAAAAAAATATATATATATATATATATATAACACGCCATATATATATGGCGTGTTGGATGGTGATAGATAAAAGAGATAAATAAACCAGGGGAAGGAATATTAGAAATTGCAATTTTAAACAGAGTAGTAGGTGGAGGCGGGAGGATTGCAAGTTTGAGGTCAGCCTGGGCTACACAGAGAGATGCAACAAACAAACATAAATAAATAAATAAGAACAAGAGTGGTGAGTGGAGGGAGACTCTGGAATACCTGGTGGAAAAACAAGCCAAGTAGAGGGAACAATCTCCCCAGGTCTAGGGAGGCTTGTTAGCCCTGAGCACACTAGTATCCAGGGCATCTATTGAGCCCTTTCTATATACAAGCCCTCTAGGCCCTGGGGCTTAGCTTTAGGAGTTGCTGATGGGCCTTGCAGGTGAAGCTAGCAAACAAGTGACATCTGCAGAGTTCCCTAAGTGACCAGGTTGTACCGCCCCAGGTTGTACAGCCTAGAGTGATTCGGAAGGCTGGGGCGGAGGAGGCTATCCATGCAGCCTTTACAGACAGGAGGGAGAATTGGGAAAAAAAAAAAAAAAAAGGGCATTCAAGGGCGGAGTTTTCCCTTAGCTGGCCACTAACAGGTTTTAACTTTTTAGTCTCCTTTCGGCCACCTTCCCATCTGGCCTGTCTCACTGAGCCAATCATACAACTAATTTGTCCAAAGAGAATTCAGTTACTGTTTCTCAGAGTGAATTCACAAGACGTGCTCCCTCAGTTTCTTTCAGACAGTCTTAAATTTGGCTTAAAGATGCCTCCGTACGTAAGAAACCGCAACCTTCTAATTTAACCAATAGCGGAGTCTTAACTAAACTGGCCGCGGCTTTAGCCAATCATAGACAGCCCTTTAAATCGCACTAGCCAATCACGCTACTTCTGCAATCCGGGTTCCCTGCCTGCTCACGTTGTGGTGCCTGGCACTCAGAACCTCTCTTAGGTCTGGGGTCAGCCAAATTTGACAATCGTACTTCAATTAATGAAACTCTACTAATCTTGCTTTGCCTAAAGTTCTTATTTTAACAATGGGAGACTATTGATTATCTTTGTTCTGAGGACTGTGATTTTCAAATGGAGTACCAAGGGGTAAGTGGGTTCCCCGGCTACAGGGCCTGGAAGAAGAGGGGCTGAAAAGCTGAGCGGGGTGCAGGGAAGGACTCCATAGGGAAAGGGGGACCCGAGGTGCTGTGTGTGCGCGTTGGTGAGAAGCCGGAGCTCACAGTGCAGAAGTTGGGGTTTCGTGGAAGGAGAACAACAGGAATGAAGAAACGTGTCAGCTGCATGTTCTTAGGAGCTAATTACGATGACAAAGGAGCAAAAAGGCTCTTAAAATGTCACCCGATCATTGCTGGGAATGAATTTCAGAAAGTTCTAAAAAAGAGATGTCTTTAAGTACCATGGCAGAAGGTCTTCTGTGCCCGCGACTTAGCGTTGGCGGGTTCTGCCCTCAAAAGCCGGGATACGAGTCTGAAAAGGAAAGGAAAAAAAGAAGAAGAAGAAGAAACCACCATAATGATGCGTAATTTAAACCTAAAAAAAGACGAAGGGGGACTTTGGGGAGGGCAACCAGCTGCAGGGGGAAAGAAGAGAGTAGGGGGTGAATATGATGTGATCAAAGTAGATTGTATTTGTATGCGTGTTTACATATATATGAAAATAGGACTATAAAACCCACTAAAGCCTGTTAAAAAGGAAGGGGGAGGAGAGTGAGGCGGTTAAGAAAGTAACAGAGATAGTGAATTTGATTGAAGTACATCATATGCATGTATGTAAATACCATAATGAAATTCCTTGGTAGAATTAATTTATGCCAATAATTTTTTAAAATAAGAATCAGCATAACAACACATGCTGAATTATAAATAGACTGCCTTGGGCTGGAGAAGTGGTTCATGTGGTAGAGTGCCTGCCTTGCAAGCCTTAAGCCCTGAATTCAAACCCAGTACTGCCTCCACCACCACCACTCCACCAAAATGCTTTTTAGTGCATGGATGCCCCAAGAATGTACATCTATATGCAACTACAGGGTACAAAACCTCACAACTTTCCTGAAAAGCTTCTGCTACTGTATTCAGAGGGGGTGTATGTGAATGTTTGCCCAAACTAATGAAGGAACTAATGGCTTAATTAGCTTGAAAAATGTACAGTAAAGTGAGGGAAGAGATTTCTGATACAAATTGAAAAGTATTTAGTGCTGAAGTGAGAAAAAGATAATTGGGAGGGGGCTGTTGTCACAGCATGTAAAACAGAATCTAAATGTTTATCTGTACTGGATTGTAAACGGGTCTGTTTTTCCATTTAATTTTGGCAGTACTGGGGTTTGGACTGCACTGCTTGAGCTGCACCTCCAGCTCTTTTTGTTCTAGTTATTTTTCAGATAGGGTCTCAGTGCTTCTGCTGAGGTTGGTGTAGACCCTGATCCTCTGACATAGGCCTCCCACATAGCTGAGATTACAGATATGTCCCACCACACCTGGCATAAGATCTCACTAACTTTTTTTTTTTAAACCGGCTTGGCCTCCAATCATCATCCTCCTATCTCCATCTCCCAAGTGTTTTTCCACTAATTTCTTAGGCTGACTTTCTTGACTAACTCATTGCTAAAGGAAATGGCAAAATACTGTACTTGGAAGACATTTTTTAGTGTAGTAAATCCAGTTTGTTCATTTATGTGCAGCTCATTAATTCATATACTGTTTCCCTTCTCTTATGTCTCCTTTAGGGATTTAGGGCCCAGTTTATTTTATACAGGCTTGGCAAAACTTAGCTAGGTGAGTGGGTGGGTGCAGATGGTAGCACAATGAGGCCCAGAGGAAGCTTCACATGCAAATGACCAAGGTACTCCAGGCTGGAGGGAACTGCTGGAGGACTGTGAAAAGCAGAGGGTCTACAGAGCCCATAGTTATCTCCTGACTATTCTCCTAGCATATGTTCCTGGCAAGCTCACATCAGTATCCTGCTGCACAGAAAGAATGTGGATGGCAATTTTCCCAAACCCCGCCTCCCGATGTCTACTCACAGTCATGATCCTGCAGCTGCCCAGGCTGGATTCAGGTAGGTCTCCCTCCTTTCCTTTCACCCCCTTTCCCTCTGTACAAATGTAAACATTCGAAGAGGTTCTTCCTAGCAGTCCCCACTGGCATCCAGGTGAATGCCCTACAATAAGGAATAGAGAAATGGTGGGCGGGAATCTGTCTTTTGGTTGGGCTGCCTTTCTGTCAGTGCAATTCCCTCCTCCACATCCTTTCACATCCTGCTCTTTTTTTTCAGGATACTTTAAAGTCCTTGGACCCCTGGAGCCCATCCTGGCCTTAGTGGGCAAAGACTCTGAGTTGCCTTGTCACCTCTCACCCACCAATGTGAGTGCTGAGCATATGGAGCTGCGGTGGTTCCGAAATATGTTCTCACCTGCGGTGTTGGTGTACCAGGATGGGCAAGAGCAACAGGGAGAACAGATGCCTGAGTACCAAGGGAGAGTGACATTGGTGCAGGACAGTATCACCTTAGGGCGTGCTGCTGTGAAGATACACCACATCAGAGTCTTTGATGAAGGGGTGTATGGATGTTTCTTCAGAGACAAACACATCCATGGAGAAGCCTTCATGCATCTGAAAGTAGCTGGTGAGTGACAAGTTTGGCTTATCCAGTGACACCAGAGTTGTACATGAATGTGGTTTGAAAACTATAAAGCATAAGAGAATTGTGAGGCGTTATCACTCCACTTAGAAAGTGGTAAATATATGATCTGTAAATAGCATAGTGCCTTTTAATATTATGTATTTATTATTATCATTACTGATTGGGGGCCGGTACTGGGGGTGGAACTCAGGGCCTCATACTTGCTAGGCAGGAACTCTACCTCTTAAGCCACACCTCCAGCCCAATATTATTTATTTTTAGCTACTCAAATTTCTAGTTTAAAAAAATGTCTTGGTGAAATCTAGATCTCAGCTCCATGACAGTGGGCCCCCTTGGCAGCAGCTTGTTCAGTCCATGTATCCCATCTGTATCCCATCTGTAGGGAGAAATAATTATCTTGAAGATGACGTCTAAAAACCTGGAGACTTGATAAAACTTGTGTGGCTCTTTTATAAATCCTGGACCTAATTTTAAAAATACTAAAACCTGTTAACTCTTCAACAGAGTAACATTCTTATGCATCCTCATAAAAGTGGACAAGTTTCTAAAGGCTTTACTGTGAAACTGTACAGTATTTGGTTTTGGAGTTACTGGCATTTGGAACTCAGAGCCTTGTGCTTGCTAGGCAGTCACTTAACCACTTGAGCCATGCCTGCAATCCTTTTTACTTTAGTTATTTTTCAGGTGGGGTCTTGGGTTTTTGCCCAGGTTGGCCTCAGACTACAAAACTCCTACCTGCAGTTTCCAACATAGCTGGGATTACAAGTATGAGCCACTGCCCCCAGCTATCAAGTATTTTTTATGCCCTATAAAGTTTTAAGAAAAGAATCAAGTAGAAAAGGAAAGAAAAGAATTCTCAGCGGTAATAATTTAAATATATGAGGGAAACTGAAGTAGAAGTCATTTAAGAGAATCCTTGAAACAACATCAGAAATGTTACTATGAATGATTTCCAACTCCTCTCCCATGGACATCGAGAGAAAAGCATAGGAAATAATTTTCCTTTTCCAGTTCTTGCCTATTGCCCAAGAGTAACATGTTCTGCCACCTTACCCAGACTTCTCCTATTCCCAACAACAGGGCTATTGCTGGACCTCCCAAAGTTTATAACTAGCCCTCCTCTAAGCCATTGATCTTGCTGTTCCCCTACCTGAAAAATCACTTCTCATGTCCACCCGTTCAATTCTATCCACATGTCAAAGATCATCTCAAATGCCTCTCTGTCCTTTAGAGGCAGGACTTGAGCCTGATCCCAAAATGGCACCTTTTTCTTGCTTTCTTTTTTTTCTCCATGCCTGACCCAAATAGTATCTTTCTAATGAGGTGTATGAAATGTCATTTTATTAATACCTTAGTTCTCTTTGAAATGAGGAGTTGAGATGTGTGTGTTCCTAGTTTCCCTGAGTTACTGTGTTCCTCCCTACAAGCACTATAGTCTATAGTAGTTACAAAGCTGAGATTAAAGACTCTCAAAATGGTATCTATGGAAAGATTTAGACCAACTTCTGTCTACATAGCTCTAGGCTCCGATCCTCACATCACTATGGAAGTTCAAGAGAATGGACAGATCCGGCTGGAGTGCACCTCAGTGGGGTGGTACCCAGAGCCCCAGGTGCAGTGGAGAACTCCCACAGGAGAGAAATTACCATCCTCATTAGAGTCCAAGAATCCTGACGAAGAAGGCCTGTTCACTGTGACAGCTTCGGTGACCATCAGAGACAACTCCATAGACAATATGTCCTGTTGCATCCAGAACCTCCTTCTTGGCCAGAAGAAGGAAGCAGGGGTTTCCATACCAGGTCAGTGGAACCAATGCTGGATTTCTGTGTTGACACAGCTTCAGGGCCACACGACCTAGGGCACCTGCTTAAATGTGACCTCATAGCAGAGTTGTCTACCTTTCCCTCCTGGCTCTGCAAAGCCTCCCGTCTGCTGGCAAATCTCACCAGATGTATAAAAATTCTGAAGTCATAAAACTTTGTATAGAGCTCAGAGAAGGCCAGGTGCAGTGGTTCATGCCTGTAATCCCAGATACTCTGGAAGCAGCAATGGGGAGGATCCAGTTTGAGGCTAGCCTGGGCAAAAATTTGTGAGCCCCCCCCTTCTCAACTTATAAGTCAGGTGTGGTGGTGCACTCCTGTGATCCCAGCTTTGTGGGAGCCTGTAGGTTGGCAGATCCTTATCTAAAAAATAATTAACTAAAGAAAAACAATAGCTTTCAAAAAGATTTCTGCTTTATATGCTTAAGAAATATACTGTATTTCTGAAATATACCGTATTTCTGGGGGTTTGCATCTATAGATTCAACGAACTGTAGATGGAAAATATTCAGAAAACAATTTTATCTGTACTAACCTTTTTTCTTGTTATTCCTCAAACAATAAAGTATTACTAGCTATTCAATGCATTGCATTGAATATTAAAGTAATCTGGACGTGATTAAAGTATACAGGAGGATATGTATGAGTTATATAAAAATACTATACCATTTTCTATAAGAAATTTGAGTATCAGTGGATTTTGGCACCCACAAGGAATCCTACAGCCAGTCCCTTATGGGTGTGGATATGTACATCTTAACTAATAAATCTTTTAAGTGGATAGAGATTTTTTCTTGGAGTAGCTAGAACATTTTACATTAGTTTCCTAGTGTTCTAAATAATCTCACTGTTTTTTTAGACCTTTGTCCAAGTTCCCAAGGTCCTCAACAGACCAGTCATTTCATGTAATCCCCAAATACTACTTCTGGTTTAGGCAGCAGCAGCTCATCTCTGGTTCATCTGTGCATTTGGTATCCCACTCTTTCTCTTTCTCCTTTGGTTTTAGTTGCATCTCATTTTTCTTGATTTCTCCTTCCACCCTAGAACTCCGTGTTCACCTTCAGAGAGGCCTGACTATTAAGTAATAATACACCCTTCTTTTATATTCTTCCACAGAGTGGAAATCACTGTCTTTATTTTTCCAGTACTGGGGTTTGAACCCAGGACCTCGCACATGCTAAGCAAGAGTGCTACCAATGAACCATTCTTCCAGCACCTGCTACTCATTTTTGAATTGTACTTATATATTTCATTTTTGATGCTGGAGATTAAACCCAGGGCTTGTGCATGCCAGACCAAACTCTCTACCATTGAGCCACATCCCCAGTCCCTTGCTATTCATTTTAATGTCTATTAAGAAAGCAAGTCTTTATCTTTCCATTTTCCTTCAAACTTTCAAATGACTACTAACACTCACTGACTCCACTTCCTTTCATGGAAACTCCCCTTAAAGGGCTGTCCAGTTATTTCCCTAATTCAGTTCAGTGATATCTTGTCCCTTATCATTCTTGATATATCTGATCCTGATGACTATCCCCTCCTAGAAACTGTCTACAAATATATCATCAAATACATCATCTAAAACACTTCATTTTCCTGATTCTCTTTGAACACATTTGTCCTGTAGCATTTGTGATTCATATTTCTCCACCCTGTGTAAGTATTCTTCAAGGATCCACTTAATGAACACTTTGGGTTTCTCCTTTGTCCATCAACTTGTCCTTTAGCCCTTCTAACCCACCTGAAGGTGTGAGTGGGGCTTTAAGTTCCAACCCTCTAACCATACCTTGGTCTTTCTGTCAAGCAGCCCTCATCCTGAGGAGCCTCTGAGCCAGCAGTCATTATTAACATAAAAAACACTCCTGACTTGGTAGTGATAGAGATCCTCAGCACTGATCAAAAAAAAAAAAAAAAAAAAAACCCAGACAACTAACCATTCCTGAAATTCTAAGGGTTTATGTCAGGAAAGGAACAGAAAGGCAAGGTAAATGTGTATTTCACAATGCCCTCTTACATCCCTCTACTTTGTAAAGTGTTTAAACAGTACCTGTATGAAGGTGGTTCTTAGAACTCCATCTTAGTCTCTAGTGATGTCTATACCACACTTCCAACTTCCTCTTGGCCATCTCTTACCAGTGTATCTCCTCACCTAGCTATTAACTAGTTTGTCCTGTGCATGACTCCTACACCACTTTCTCCTCACTCCTTTTTAAAATTTGAGGCTTAAACCATATAATAAAAATAAGATTACTCTTAAATGTGCAGGTTGGTGGATTTTTACATACCTCCCATCCAGTGTCTCACTAATTCATCTTGAATTTTGGCCATTCTCATGGGTGGGAAGTGAGACACTATGTTATTTTTTTAATTAAATCATTTTAGATTCACATGTAGATATAAGAAGTAGTACAGAGCTTTCATGTACTCTTTACCTAGTTTCTTCCAATGATAACAGTAAGTCATTATTATAGAGAACATTTCTGTCACAAGGTCCCTCATGTCTCCTGTTTTAGTCATACCTGTTCCCTTCCACCATCATGCCCTGTTTAACACCTAGCAGCTACTGATCTTTTCTCCATTTTAATTTTAAAATTAATTTTTTTTTTTTTGGTGTTAGTAGTAGGCAGACATTCTCCACTTGAGCCACTCCACCAGTCCTTGTTATTTTTTGAGACAGTGTGTCACTTTATGCCTGGCCAGTCTGGACTGTGTTCCTTTTATTTGTTCTTCCCTGGGTAGAAATAACTAGGATAACAGGTGAGTGCCACTGCACCCAGCCATTGGTTGAAATGGGGTCTTGTGAACTCTTTGTCTGGGTTGGCCTGAACTATGATCCTCCCAGTCTCTGCCTCCCAAGTAGCTATTAGTATAGGCTTGAAGCACTGTACCTGGCCTTTATTTTTATTTTTAAATTTTTGAGGCAGGGTGTCACCATGTGTCCCTGGCTGGCCTTGGACTCATGATCCCCATGCCTCAGCCTTCTGAGAATTGGGATTATAGACATGCATCACCACACCCAGCCCTTCTCCATTTTTATAATTTTATCATTATAACTGGAATCACACATGTAATAACATTCTAAGCCTCAGTTCTCTGGAGATTTACCCAGATTCTTCCTCGTTTCAATAGTTTGTCTTTCTATTGGTAAGAAATAGTCCACGGTATTTTTGTACCATAGTTTGTTTAATCATTCATCTGTTGAAAGACATCTGGGTTGCATCCAGTTTTTGACTGTTATATATATAACATATAAATATTTATATGTTATACATATGATATTTATATGTTATACATATACATATAAACATTTGTGTATAAATTTTTTTGGACAGAAGTTTTCATTTTTCTGGGATAAATGCCAAAGAGTATAATTGCTGGGTAATAATGTTTAGTTTTTAATGGAAATACCAAACTTTTTCAGAGTGGCTATACTATTTTACATTTTCTATCAGCAGTGTGTCAGTGATCCAGTTTCTTTGCAGCTTCGCTGACATTTGGAATTGCTGTATTTTTTATGTTAGTAATTCTGATACATGTGTAGTGAAACCTCATTGTGGTTTTAATTTGCATTTGCCTAACAACTAATGATGCTAAATATCTCAATACGTATTTGCTGTGGATAGCTTCTTCATAGAAGTATATGTTCACCTATTTCTAGTTAGATTTTGTTTTGTTTGACTATTTTGAGAATTCTTTATATATTCTTTCTTTTCTCTTTTTTTTTTTTTTTTGGTAGTACTGGGGCTTTGAACTCAGGGCCTCATGCTTGCTAGACAGGTGCTGTACCACCTAAGCCATTCCACCAGCCCACTTTATATATTCTAGATATGAATCCTTTTTCAGAGATGTGGTTGGAAAATATTTTCTTCCAGTCTATAGTTTGTCTTTTCCTCCCCTTTTTGAGACAAAAGCTGACTGTGTCGACCATTCTGGCCTCAAATTTATTATCCTCCCGCTTTAGCCTCCCAAGTGTACTGGAATTACATGCTTGTAGCACCACACTAGGCTTGTGTTTATTTTTATATATGGTGTGAGATTTAAGTCAAGGTTCTTGGGTTTTTTTGGCAGAACTGGGTTTGAACTCAGAGCCTTATACTTACTAGGCAAGCACTTGATCAGTTGAGCCACTTCCCCAGCCCAGGGTTCATTATTATTATTATTATTATTATTATTTTTTTGCTTAGGCTTATTCATTGCTCCTACTGCCTTTTGTTGAAAAGACTAACTTTCCTCCACTATGTAACTTTTGCATCTTTCTCAAAAATCAGTTGGGAGCTGGGTGTGGTGGTACATGTCTATAGTCCCAATTATTGGGAAGCTGAGGCAGGAAGATAGGGGTTGAAGGCCTGGACTACAAATAAGACCTTGTCTCAAAAAGCAAACAAGTCAGTGGCATATTTTTGTGATTCTGTGTCTGTTGTTCTGTTCTCTTGTCTATCCCTCCAACAATCTTGATTGCTGTAGTTGTAGTAAATCTTGGGATCTAGTAGACTGATTCCTTCCACTTTATTCATATTTTCAAAAATTTTTTAGCTGTTCTAGTACTTTTACCCTCGATATAATTTTAAACTAATTTTCTCTATTTTGACAAAAATCTTGATGGGAATTTGATCATAATTTTATTAAACCTATATATCAACTTGAGGAGAACTAATATCTTTGCTAGGTTAAATCTTCCAATTTGTGATCACATTACACCTATGTTTATTTAGCTCTTATTTGATCATCATTGTATAGTTTCGTGAGCAGAAAACCTGAATGTATTTTGTTGGTTTGACATCTAAACACTTCATTATTTTTGAGCAATTGTAAGTGCTTTTTTTTGTTTGTTTACCCTGCTACTGAGGTTTGAACTAGGGCCTCAGCCTTGTTAGGCATTCTACCACTTGAGCCATGCCTCCAGTCCAAATACTGTTGTATTTTTAATTTCAGTGCCCATATGTTTATTGCAAGTACAGAAAAATAAAATTGGTTTTTAA